AAAACGACCAGCATATAAACTTCGGTGCCTGGCAAACGACCGAACTACGTGAACAAATGAAGTAAAGGAGCCTGTTACTTCTAGGAAAACAACAGGCCATTATCTGTTGCCAACGATACAACTTAAGCTCTTGAGCAAAAATCAGAATTCTGGCAAACACGACCTGCTGCTTTGACTGTAACCGCTTCTCGAGGCTCCAAGGCTTTTTAAAAAATAGATAATGAAATATGTCAACATTTAGATCGGCGTGACTCAGTGAACCCGTATTTTCCAAGTGATCAATGCTAGATGTTAGAAGATCGTGCATGGGCACAAAATCCGCTCAAAGTGCAAATGAGACCAATGGCGTTCTGACCACTGTAGCCCATCACAGCAGTAAGGTTTCGGATCCCACGCTGCGGCAAACCTCCAAGAAACTACCCCCTGGTGAGTTTTAGTGAGGCGTCATAGGAAAATATCCACAATTACCTAATGAGGCAATTAATACGCTCCTTCCCTTTCCCAATTGTGTACAAGTGACGCCAGATTTTCAACCAGGGCAACAAATCACAGGAGCCCGAACGAGGGGCCAGGTAGGAGAAGTCGACATTCTTCTATGAAGTCCGACATCNTCTGACATTTAAAAGTTTTGGTAAAAATATAAAACGACGCTGCCTTTTTGACTTAAATCTACTTGTTGGGGGAAATATAGTTATTTTTCATTAAAAATAGTTATTTATGTTAAAGTGTGATGGGCTTATTGTTATTTTAAAATAAAGTATTGAAGATTTAGACGTTTACTTTTTTAAAAAACTGGGTTTACTGGGGTGACACTGGTTAATAAAATTATATAGGTTTCAGCCATATAATTCTATAATATATCACCTGCATATTGTACTGTGTGTTCACCACCCCAAGGCAAGACCCTCCCGTCACCACTTATCCCCCCTGTACCCCCTCCCACCCCGCCTTCCCTCCGGCAATCACCTTACCACTGTCTGTGTAGGCACGTTTGCAGCTTTAATTTCTAAAACAGTAAATAACGACAGATCTAAACCATATAAACAAAAGCTCTTTGGGGTCCTCAGTTTTGTAAGAGTGTAACACGGTCGGAGACCAGAACATCTGAGAAACACTCCTAAGAAAATACAGATTTACAGACGGAAGCGCAGCGCAGTGACACGTGACGGCGGCCACGCGCAGGAAAACGTGGCCACGACCTAGGTGTCCAGGAGCAGGGTCGTGGCTAAAAAATTACGGAGCTTCCACTTGGTAGAACATGATGGAGTCATTACAAATTATGTTTTCCAAGAGTTTTTATTGTTGTGGGAAAATGCTCAACACGCTCGACGTGCCGTTAAGTGATGAAGAAAGGGAAGGAGCCCATTGGCACGAGCGTTTCTGCGGGGCCTCGGCCTCGGGGACACAGAAGCCGCGGGGGGCCAGGTACCCCACAGGGGGCCCGGGGCTCTGAGCTCGTCAGGTGCGTGGGGCGGGGGTCACACAGGGACTCGGGGGTGCACAGGTACGTGGGCGCACGCAATAACATCCTTCCCTGACCCACGGCTCACTGCCTCTACCTGTGAACTCGCGGGGTGACCAAAACCCTCAACAGGACGCTCCCGGGCTCGGCCGCCACGGAAACAAAGGGGCCCCCAAAACCCGCCCTCCCAAGCTGGGTTCTTTTTGTTGCTTTGATTTGGAAACACGGGCTGAAATTTCGGGGGTTTGTTTGAGTTCCTGAGCCTTAGGCGCTGGAAAATTCTGGTCTCGTCCAACCCCAAACCAGAGACTGAGGGTGACAGGCGGGGGCCCGCCAGAAGCCTCTGGTGGGCACTGCACCGTGTGTCCCCACCGCAGGGACACGGGTCGTCCAGCCCAAGTGTCACCCAGCATCTGCGGCTGGCTTGGCTGGCGCATTTATTCGCGTTCTCCTCATGACGAGCATACAAATCCCTTTCCATGCCCCGGCCGCCTCCCGCCCACATCTGCCTGCAATTTCCTCACCACGTGCCAGGCCCGGGGGGCGCATCCCATGGACGGCCGTGCCAACGCCAGGCAGGGCGCTCGGCGGCCGAAGGTGCCCATTCACTGCTTTTCGGGAACACGGCGCACCTCGAGCTCGGGTGGGCTCAGGGGCTCTCAGGTCTGGGGCACCCCTAACGGGAATCAGGGGACCAAACCTCCAAGCAGGCCCCAGGAGGTCTGCCAAGCCCTGCCCCCTCTCTCGTGCGAGAATCACCGAGGATGTGCATTACTGGTTCCCGGCACTGGGCCGAGCACTCTGTATCTCATTTAATCCTCACAGCAACCCTGGAGTAGCTACTATTATTAGTCCCAATTACAAGAAAAACAGGCATTGTTATTGTTACCCTCAGTAAGGGAACTATGGTTCAGAGAGGTTAAGGAATTGCCCGCGGTCACACAGCTAGCAAGCGGGAGAGCTGGATTCAAGCCTCGATCTGATTCCAGAGCCTGCCGTCCCCATCACCATTACGGAGCTACAACAGCGGCCCCCCCCAGTCCAGGCGGACTTTATCCCCAGACGGAAGATGTGTGTGGGGTACGGGAAAAAGTTCCCGAAAGAGCTCGGTAAACTCGGCCAAGCTGCTTAACCTCCCTGAGCCTCACCCAAGCGTCTCCATTTGTAGAAGGGGGTTCCAGCCTCCTAGCAGGATTGGGGTGTATACTGAGTGCTTAGAAAAGTGCTGGCACACAGTAGGTGCTCGAGAAAGCTCTCCTTTAAGGAGTGCTGGCGTATCCTTGGTGATGAGATGACTGTTCCCACAAAGGAGCCACCCCGTCGGGCGGACCTCTGGGTCCCTGGGAAGGCCTTTGGTCATGGACGAGAAATCTTAGGGCACAGAGTTAGGAAGAAAAACGCCCGCACGGCTCTGTGCCCCATGGGCCCCGGCGGCCGAGCAGCCGCTCTCACTGTGGGAGCAAGCGCGTGTGGGCACCGCCACAGACGTTACGTCATTAACTCACCAGGACGGTCCCAGGTCTGCAGAGGGCGGGCTGTCTGTCCCAGGAGCCGGGAGGGGGCACGGGAGCCTCTGCTCACTGCCCTGGCTGCTCCTCCGGGCCGGGGGCAGCCGGGAGGTCTGTCTCCTCCCCGCAGGAGCAGAGGGCGCATGTGGGCGAGAGCCCTTTCCCGGGCCAAGGACAGGGAAGGCGGGTTCCCGTCCCCGCGATGAAAGCTGGCAAAGGCGGCCGAGGCTGCTGCTTCCCGAGGCAGCCCCGACGCCCCCGGGCTCACGAAGCTTAGCGAGACCAAAGGACGCGGGCTCAGGACCGGGACCCCGAGGCACTTCCTCGGGGGATTCTGAGGCTGGGTCAGGTCCTGGGAAGGGGGGGGGGTGTCCCGAGGCCCCGGGAAGCTGGGAGGGCCGGGGGGCCGGCCCAGATCTGCCCGGACTGCTGGACGGCTGCCTAGAGAAAGCGCGTGTGCTTGGCACCCGGGCCTCCCGGCCACGCAGCGCCAGCTGGACTGTAACACAGGCCACCTGCCCACCGCGGCCTGGCGAGACCACCCAGAACAGTCTCGGTGACCCCACGGGAAACAAAACCCCAGCGGCAGAGGGTCTCCCGCCTTTAAGAGTGATTTGTTTTGCCGAGAAGTGCGCACGCCTGGAGAGCGCTGTAACATCTGGGTAAGGAATCCGCTCGAAGACGACTCCCAGACCCCCCGGGGGAAGGGCAGTGGGTGCGGGATGCCCAGCCTGCCCAGCGGCGTGCTGTTTGCTGCTCACACCTCCCCTCCGGTCAGGGAAACCCGCAAGGACAGAGCTGACCAACTGCCCAGCAAAAGCCACTCTCCCTGCCCCGCATGAAAGGACGCCCAGCTGGAAAGGACACTGCCCAGCAGGCCCGCAGCCAGGCGCGGCCTCACGACCCAGCTGCTGCCGCAGGGAACCTCTGGCCCTCGATTTTGGCTCTTTCCCTGGGTCTCTCACAGGCCAGGGAGCAGGGAGCAGAGACCCCCCCACCCTGAAATGCTCCTCCGGATGGTGAGAGGACAGACAAGCAGATGCGTTAAGCCCTCTGTCCTGGGGTTTCTGCCACAGCAGCGTGAAATCAATCTGAGTGATTAACCTGCTTTGGCTTAAAAAATAGTCTTCAGAGAGTATCGTTCCAGTAAATGGTAAGTGGACGCCAGGTTGCCGAGTTTTACTGCCTTGTTTTCCCCCAAGAGAAACGAAGACCCCAGGGGAGCCTGAGAGAATCGAGGACCCCACAGGCTCCTCTCTCCCCGTGTCTCATGCCCGAGAGCTCCGAGCACTGTCCGGGGAGGGCTTCCAGCCTTTCCCAAGTGACCTCCCGAGACCCCTCCCCAGCCGCACCGAGGGCAGGCGGCTCCTAGACGGGTGCCTAGCTGCTGGTGCCCCAGCCCAGCTCTCAGGAGGGCAGGTGAACAGGGGGCCCACCATCTCCTGGTTCCCTACAGAGGGCTCTGGTATGGGTCCGAGGCCCACCTTGGCAGGAGACCACCTGGGCACCTACATCACGCTCTCCCCCAACTCCTCCACCTTCCCTGGGCCAGAGGCTGTCCTTCGAAGGGACCGCCAAGCAACTCGAGTAGAGGACCTGGGCCCCCGCCCCCCTGGGAGAGGCCGATGTGGCCTCCAGCAGAGAATCCAGCAGAGAATCTGGCACACGAGCGCTGTCCAGGGAAGGGGGGCGAGAAAGCCCCCGAGGAGACCCAGCTGCCAGGTTGGCACCCGATTCAGCAAAGATGCCCACATACCTGCCACACCTGCCTCAGGGGGAAGCTGCCCCACTACCGGTCATGATGGAGGAAAGTGGGGGTCACACCAGAGAAGGGGATGATGTATGTGCCCAACCCTGCAAAAGGAAGCTTTCCACCCCAAAAAGGACAGGGGCAGCTGAGACACCCCCATGTCGATGTCACTCCCCCTGCCCCCCCTTGCAGAGGCTGCACCCCGGTTCCCCAGAGCCCCCGTGGCCTGAGCCCGAGTCCCTGGCAGGGGAAGGGGGGACCACGCGGACTCGCCACTCACCCTGCAAGGCTTCTTTGGCTCTGGCTAGCTCCTGCTCCTTCTGGGCCAGCTGGACCCTCAGCTCGGTGGCCGAGAGGACCTCGGAGGACTTGCCGCCCTGGGACTCCTCCAGGTCCTTGGTCAGCATCTCCTTCATCTGGCGGAGAAGGTGGACTTCCTCCTGGAGCCGCGACACTTCCTCCCGCAGCAGCACTAGGGGAGAAGGCACACGGTTAGAGGAAGGGGGCGCTGGCCTGCGCTCGCTCACTTTCCTGGGGACAGTTTCCTGGGTGAGGGTTGCAGAGGGACGTGACCGTGACACAGCTTTCAAGGAGCCGGGCCACTGGTCCGACTCCCCCACCTGCCAGGTGTGTGGTCACTAGCGAGTCCCTTCTCCTCTGAGCCTCAGACACCCCATCTGTAAAATGGGTCCAGTGCTCACCGGGGGGGGGGCTCCGAGGAGACCAGGAGGAAGCCCCCGCACACGGGCTCAGCCCACAGTGCGCTCCACGCACACGGGGCGCCCTCAGTATTGATGGGGTGGGGCTGCCGTTTCCCTAGGCACCTTCCTCCTGGGCATCCTGGGCCTGGAGGCCCAGACAGGTCTGGGGGTGGGAGACAGGCTGAAGGGGTCACAGCTGAGGCCTTGAGGACAGGTGACCCTCCACCACCACAGGCCGTGGGAAAAGGTGGTCTGGACTCCGACTCCAGCTCCCCGGCCCCCTTGCCACCTCCTCCGAGGCTACCTGGGTCCGGCTGCCACCTGCGCGAGGGAGGCCCCCCTGCCCTCCCAGCGCCTCCTTAACCACCTCTAGCCCCACGACAGGAGCCTGGGGGCCCCTGTAAATGCAGAGCATGTCCCCTTTCACCCTGGCTGAAACCCCCCTGGCTGCCCAGCTCACTGGACATGTCTTCCCAGGAGCCCTCCCTGAGCCTCCCTTAGGCCACCAGCTCCGGAAGGTCCTAGACTCACAGAAGCTGGAGAACTTCCTTCCTGTCACTTGGTCTCAGCTCCATTGTCACCTCAAGAGGCCTAAAGTGGCCCCCGCCTGCTGTCCAATTTTGACAACCTGCACAAAACCCCTCATCATCAGGGAGGCCCACTTGTTTGCCACCTGTGTGCCCGATGGGCGTAGCTCCCGGAGAGCGGGCCTGGTCATACCCTTCACTATGAGGTCTCCAGTGCGCCCCACAGTGTGTGACAACACATGACCGGTGAATGAGTCCCTCCACCCATCTGCCCACCCAGCAAGAGTTTATGGGCACCTGCCATGTGTCAGATGCTGCTCGAGGTACAGGGGACTCCCAGGTCAATGTCACAGACAGGGCCCGCCCTCAGGCTAGCGCTCCCAGGCGCCACTGCAAACATGGGTCGAATGTCCCCAAACCCGCATTCCAGGAGGCAGGTGGTTCGCAGAGGAGCGACTGGCTCTGCTCTGACATCAACTCGAGTGGCGGCTGGGAACCGTCCAAATCTCTCAGCAAAACTGAAAAGTAGAAGGTTTGCCTTCGGTGCCTCTCCCCGCCCTCATTCCAGCGAACATTTATGGGCCACCAACACTGCAGGCCCGGCACAGGGTGTCCAGAAAGGAGCAGGGAACAGCCTGGGCCTCCAGAAGCCTCCAGGGAGTAGGAGTACACACAAGTAAGCCTAGTAAAGGGGAGGGGGGTGTCTGCTTAGGGCACAAGGACATCTGAGATGGGACTTGGAAGCTGGATGAGCAGAGGGAACAGCAAGAATGAAGGCAAAGAGGCTGGAATGCCAGCGGTCCCTGGGTGACCAATGAATGGGCACAAGGTGAGACCAGCACCACTGCTCTGTCCCCCAGCCCTGGCTCACCATCTCCAGCTGTAAATAAGACTCTGGAACTTGCATTATTGCTGTTCCCTGCCACAGACTGCATGTTTGTGTCTCCTCAAAATGTATATGCTGAGCCTGGCCAGTGTGGCTCAGTGGTTGAGCATCGACCTAGGATCCAGGAGATCGAGGTTCGATTCCGGTCAGGGCACCTGCCCGGGTTGCGGGCTCGATCCCCAGTTGGGGGCGTGCAGGAGGCAGCCGATCAATGACTCTCTCTCATCATCGATGTTTCTCTCTCTCCCTCTCCCTTCCTCTCTCGGAAATCAATAAAACACATTTAAAAAAAACTTATATGTTGAAAGCTAATCCCTAATGTGTATTTGGAGGTGGGGCCTCTGGGAGGTAATTAAGTCATGAGGTTGGGGCTCGCAGGAATAGAATTAGTGCCCTTCTAAAACAGACTCCAGAGCGCTCCCTCGCCCCTTAAACCACCCGAGGACACAGCAAAAAGGCAGCTGTCTGTAAACCAGAAAGACGGCCCTCGACAGACACCGGGCCTGCCAGCGCCTTGAACATGGACGTCCAGCCTCCAGGACCTGAAGCAACAAATTGTGTTGTTTATAAGCACCCGGCCGATGGAGTTTTAGTTACTGCAGCCCGAATGGACTGAGACTCTCCTTCATCACTTCTCCCCAGTCGCCCATCCCGCCAGGGTCTGTTCCCACTGAACTGTCACCAAAGGTCTATTTCACAGTAAGGTGCGAGTGACTACTAACATATCCGGGCAGGCGCAAGACAGGCTTGTTTAGGTTTGTTTTTTAGGAGTGTGCCTTCCGGGCTGCCTCAAACTGCCCCGAGGAAGCCAGCGAGGTCGTCGACTTTACACGGACAGCAAAATCCAGTCCCGGTCAGGGCCCTACCGGGACCCGCGCACGCGCCCACTGTCACTTCTCAGGGTCTTGGTTGTCACGTACGCTGCGTGGGGACAACGCCACCCATTTAGGCTCGCCAGGTTGAGCAAACAAAGCAACCCAAAACAAACAGAAAGCCCCAGATGCACAATTAAACTTGAATTTCACATATATAACAAATCATTTTTAGTACAAGAATGTCCTAAACATCACACGGCCGCGGTCGCAGGGAAAACGCATTTGTTGTTTATCTGAAATGCAAATTCAGCCGGGTGTGCTGTTTCCTCCTGTAACCCTACTCTCACCCCACGGGGGTTCTGGCACAAAGAACTGGGCTGTCACCAGCAGGGCGTGGCCGGGGCACGTCAGGGGACGGAGGGGAGGGCACCTCAGGGGACGGAGGGGAGGGCACAGAGGCTCCGCGTCCCTGCACCTAGGAGAGAGCGCAGAGCGAGATGGGCCAGGCGCCCTTCTCCTGGGCTGCCGGTGGCAAAGGCGGGTTTTTCCTCTGGTCACCTTTCCAACAGGTGTCCCTGACACTCAGGCCCCGCCCCTCGCGTCCAGCCCTGAATGAGCAGGAGGGCGGAAGAGCAGGTGTGGCACCTGCAGGAGCCAAGTCCCAGAGGGGACTAGGCTGGAAAAACAACTCCAGGGAGAGAGGTCTGCTCGAGCTTACTCACCGCACCTGCCGCCCCAGCTGCGTGGGCGAGCCCACGTCGCACACGCCGCCCTGGACGTTCGGGGCAGATTCGAGACAGTTCTGGGGCTAAAATGATAGAGAGCCTCGTGAGGTCCTGGCCCGGTCATTTATGGGCTCCGGGACCCGGGACAGGCACTTCCTCTCCTGGGCCTCAGTTACCTTCCCTGTAAATGAGGCTGATGGGAATGAGACCCGTGTAATGCATTTAAACGTGTTCAGCACAGTGAGCACTGCTGGTGCCCACAACCCCCCACCCCTTCACAGAGGGGAGCGACGACACGCCCCAGAAACGAGGAAGGCGCTGGAGTTGGAAGACTTCGGTTTTTGACGCAGAGGGATGGCTACCTCGCTGTGTGACCCAGGGCAAGTGACTGTCCCTCTCTGAGCCTTCCTATTATCAGCGCCCTTAGAGGGACCCACTCCATGAATCGAGATAAATGTTATCGATTATTCATTTCCCCCCTTGGTGGGAACAGGGTCCTTGCTCTGGTCTAACTGCACTGCTCAGTGAGACAGCCACTGGCCACGCGTGGCTCTTTAAGTACAAATTAATCAAAATGAACAACTCAGTTCCTCTGTGGAACCAGCCACATTTCAAGTGCACAGAAACCACTGCAGAAGAAGAAAGAAAAAAGGGCTTTGCCCCTTCTCCGCCTTCTTGCCTGGAAAGTGGACTTGGGCTGGAGCTGCGGCTGCCACTTTGTAACAAGGAGGCAAGAGGCACAGGGCGGAAAACAGGCCCAGGAGAGAGCACGGGGCCTGGGCCTGCGCAGCACGACTCAGCTGTGTGCCTGCACCGCGACCTGAGGCGGCACCGCTGGGCAGGGCTGCCCGGCACAGGACAGCCTTTGATTTCAGCTGCTGATTCCGAGTCCGAGTTCAGCCGCCCCCGCGGGCTGCCCTCGGCCAGCTCGGCGGAATCCAGGGAGTGGGAGGCAGTGGGGACCGTGGAGGGATCAGCACGGCGCACACCTGGCCGGGGGAAGAGCTCCGGCTTGTGACAAGCCTCTCCCAGGCTGTATTTTTGTGAGCCTGCGGGAGCAGGGGCAGGAGAAGAAAAGGGAATACAGTTGCTTTCTGTGACTGGAGGGCACCCCCACGAATGGCCTAAACCAGGCAGCGGGGGACCAAGAGACTCCTAAGGTCTCCTGGTGAGTCGTAGGTGAGTAGGCCCTGCCTTCCCAGCCAAGGTGTCAATACTACTACTACTAATAATAATCTTATAATTACTACGTGTCAAAATAACAATCGCCCCTTTACTAACATTTCTGTAGCACACACTATGTGCACAGGCTCTGTTATAACTATTTCACACGCCTTAACGAGCTTAAGCCTCACAATAACCCCATGAAGTAGGTCCTAATAGCATCACACCATTTTGCAGACAGGAAAGCTGAGGCACAGGAGTTCGGTGACTTGACCAAGGTGACACAGAGTAAAGAGCAGAGCCAGGATCTGAACTGGGTGGTCTTGCTCCAGCGCCCACAGTCTTAACTCCTGCACTGTATCACTTGCGGGGGGCGGTGGGAGGTGACACGGAGGGAGCCCAGGGCCTCAGCAGGCACCTTGGTGGGTGGCAGTGGAGGCGGGCGCGCCCCCCAGCAGGGTAGAAGCCTGCCCCTGTTTCCCCGGTGGAGCTGGGTCGCAGTGAGCCCGCCTCCCCGCACGGTGCTCCGGGCCCTCCACGGGGGGGCTCCACGCGGCTCGGGGAGAAGGGCGTGCCTGCCACACAGGCAGGGGATCTGCTCTGCTCACAGCAGCACCCAGGGCTCAGCCCAGTGCCGGGCTCTTGGCCG